GTTTGTATTCCTTATTTGTGATTTAATTTGTACATAAAAATAAATGTCTTTTTCATAATAACAACTGTATGCCTGCTTTTGCACCCCCTGTATAATTATATAAAAGTTTGAAATAAATTTTAAATCATTGATGATGATTAGTGATATAATGGATTTAGTTGACATGATGCTGTATCTTTCATTACTAAAAAAAAAAAAAAAGCAAAGTATCACCATAATAACTAAGTGCTTTTGGGCTTTTTTTCACATAGTCCTTATCACTTGAAAATAATCTTTATGATTAGATTATATGTATGATGATGTATAATTTAACTTTTCATCAAAAAATATTATTTCATATAGTTTTATTGATTTTTTAACATTAATATATATATATAAATAAGATTTTATGAATAATTCTAATTATATTTAAATTTAAAATATATATGTTTTAATGGTAATATGAAAACAGATTTTAATATGGATATAATTTAAAAGTTTGAATCATAATAAAATCAAAACAAATCTAAATTAAAATATTATTAAATTTACTAATAATATATTGTATTTTTAATATCACATATTATATCATTTTAATATTAAATTAACAAATTAACTGTTTACATGATTCAAATTACATTTTAATAATATAATATATAAATTGATATATAATGTAATGAATTTAAAATAAGTAGTTAAACGTTATAAAGAAATATAAATCATCATAATCATATTCAGAAGTTATTTTTCTTCTGAGTTTTATTAACAAACATATTCTTAAACAGAGATGATGACAGTAGTGATGATGAATCTGCTCGACGACAGCAAAAAGTTGTTAGAAGAAAAGATCGTGAGTCCGATATTGGTAAAGTTATAATTTATGAAGTTGGAGATAAACGTAAAAAAGATAGTTGGCTTCCTTGTCTTGTTGTTTCACCTTCTTCACAAGAAAATATGAAAATTAGTCAGAAAGAAGATTATCTTATTCGTTCTTTTAAAGATGGAAAGTTGTAAGTCAAAATAAAGCTTAATTTATATTAATAAATTTACAGATGTCAAAAGAATATACAAAAAATAGGAATGTTTTATAAATGTGAATATATTATTAGATTTATTGTTTTGAAGCATTATTGGAAATTAATACTTCTTAACATGGTGATTTTGAATTGATTTTGATTAATTTCTGTTTTTTCAACTTTGATTAAAATGTAATCAAATGGGCAAAACTAAAAAAAATTATAATAATAATTACTAATTTCATTACAAAATCAACTATATAATACAAATGTACTTTTTATACATATATAGTAAATTATTTTAATGAAAAGTATATTATATACATTTATGTAAAAAGTGTATTTGTATTATATATTATGAAAAGGGATTAAAGGCTAATTGATAAAACAAAATCAAATGGCAAATTAATAGCGATTCTTGAAATGTATTAATTATAGTTATAAAAATTTCATGAATGCTATTCTATATGATATTTAATTATTTAGCAATAAATAGTTTAATCTTTCATATTGAATGCTAAAAATATACAAGATATGTATGAAAGTTATGCTGATATACATGTATATTTATAAATACTGTTGTAAAAGTTTTCTAATAGCTATATTAATCTGTTGGCATCTGTTGATTATCAGTCATGTGTGCTTGTGTATTGTTTCTGATGACTTATTTAGCTATAATAGAATTTGTTGTATTTTTATTTTAAAAACTGGAGAAGATTATAAAACTTAATTCTCATCATCTGTTTAATAGAAAATATATTTTTTTTTTGTTTAGAAGAAGACTTGTAAAATTATCAATTATATGATTAGCTTATGCAAATATTTAATTACAAATAAAATATCTTAATTTATTTAAAATTTTTTTACTAATGTATGAAATATTCAAAAAATGCTGGCAAGGGCTCTTGCTTAACTTTTCCAGCACTGATACAGGTTAGGAGAACCAGGAATTCCAATAATTTTCAATTATACCAGGATATAAAATTCAAATAATAATAATAAGCCCAAAAGCAGTAATTTTGTTGAATTATATTAAATATACTTTTTATATGGAGATTTTTAAGTTTAAAAAACATTAAGACACCTTAGCTCAAAGTTAAAATTGTATGTGGCACCATGTTTTTGGTTTTTTTAATAAAAAACAATTTTTATATTATTAATTATTGAAAAAAGGCTTAATTTTGAATGTAGAGATTAGTTTTTAAAAATATTGTAAATGCCAATAATGAGTAAAATTTTCATTAAGTTCAACTCCACATGGCCCTTCTATCTTCCACCTCTTGACCTTTAATAGCCAAAATTTAATAGCATCAATGTCCTGTATATATAAATAATTTTGCCAATATTTAAAATTTTTGATGTAGCCAGTCGTGAGATATAATGCAAAATAGACACTGACAACACATACTGAATTTTGTAAGGATTGTTTTTTACACTTTTTGCTCCTAGAGTGAAAAATTTGACCATTCATCATACTTTATGTTATATTCTATAAGAGCTGGGAAAGTAAAACCTAAAACATGAGTGTAAAGTTAAATATATTTTAGAAGAAATAAAATCATATTCTTAATTTTTGCTAAAGAGAAGACAAATTTTACTGACAAACACAACACTGATTGATCTGTTAGGAAAAGAAGTCAATATTAAACCAATGATGTTTTCATGAAAGATTTTTACAAATCTTCTAAACAGTTTTTTTTTTATTTTATTTTATAATCATTTTTACAGGTCACCTTATGTCTGTTTGAATTGGCATCTGTTAGGTGCTATTTTCTCAGCAGCTTGAACTACTTACAGTATGCAGTTTGCTAATGAATTTGTCTTAGGTCAATGTCCAAAGTATTCTTTGCAGTTACATTTTCTCTAAAACATTTATTAGCTGATAAGCTTACCTTAGACAACAATTCAGACAATTTCTGTTAAAGTTTCACTACATCAACTAATCTTAGGAAACCTTTTAAGCACTAAGTTCTTTCCTTAAAGTGTGCAGAATAACTAACAAGATCAAAAATGTTACTAACAATAGCTTATGCTACTGATAACTAAAATAGTTTTTGCTGGTAGCAGATAATTTTAGTTATGTATGAAACTGAAAAACATTTAACATAATTAAATAATAATGATTTTAAGCAATGACTTAAAAATACCAATGAATTGATTTGAATTATAAATATTGAGATGGTTTTATTACTAAACAAAAGTAATTTCTCTGTTTTTTTTTTTTTTAATTTTAATACTCAAAATAAATTTCTGAAAATCAATTAATTTTATCCAATATTTTGAAGTAGCTTTTCTTTATATTTCTCACTAGTGATTTAATTTTGTTTCAGTTATCAGGTGCCAAAAAAGGATGTCAAAGAATTTACTAAAGATACAGGTTCAAAAACAGAAAGCTCAAACTTAAAAACAGGTAATTAATATAAAAGAAATTATTGTGGTAAAAATGTAGAAAAATTAAAGAAAAAAAAAACAAAAATAAATATATAAAATTATTTCAAACAAATGCTTTAAATAATTTCTATTGAGATTTTAATAAAAAATGATTTTGCAGAATAAAAAAGAATACACAGTTTTGTTTTAAGAAAGTTAAATATGGTAATACAGGGGACTCTTATTGTAATATTGAAATTTTCAAATCGTTCTAAAATTTCTGTAATGAATAATTTAGCTTATTCTTTATAGAATTATAATTAAAAATTTAATTAGTCTCAAAACATTGTTTAAATTAAGTTTTGCATACACACCTTAGCAAATAATTTGAATTTATATCATTTAAAGTTAAGATAACATAAATATAATAGATCATTTTTCTGATACTTGCTATTTATTAATTATTTAAAATAAAGGTAATATAATTAGAAAACAAAAACTCTAATAATATTTATATTTCCAGAATAAATGTAGCATATTTATTATTAATTAAATTATAGCATATATATATGCTATAATTTAATATATGCTGTACATATATATATGCATGCATAATTTATACAGTATATTAATATATATACAGGGTCTGTACAGACCTGGAAACTTAGGGAATGGCATCAAATGTCAAGGAATTCACAAATATACATACATACATATGTGGTATGGTCCAAAAGTTTGGGGACTGCAGTAATGTATGACAACAAAAGCATGTATTTGAAGTTACAGCATATGAAATTGATTCTATCAAACCTTTCCTACGTGTTCAGGTTGGTTTCGCCCATGTCATGTGATTAAACCACGAGTGCTGTTATTTTCTTTCAGAGATAGTTACCTTTGTTTTGCGACGTAATAAAAATGGAGTTTCCAGAACAGCACTACAACATTAAATTTTGTCAGTGTTTAGGTAAAACACCTATGGAGACTTTAAAATTGCTAAGAAAGGTGTGCGGTGATTTTACCATGGCGAAATCAAAGGTGTACAAATGGCATCGGCTTTTAAAGAGGGCCGAGAATCCATCACAGACGATGAATGCTCTGGCCGACCTTCGACTTCACAGAATGAGGAAAATGTTGAGTTGGTCTCTCAGTGTGTTTGCAAAGATTGTTGCCAAACTCTTGAAAAAATCGCTGCAGCTACTCACTTATCAAAGACTAGTTGCCAGTGTATTTTAACAGAAGATCTTAACATGCACCGAGCAAAGGAAAAGTCATGATGGAGGTGTTTTTTGATTCTCAAGGAATTGTTTATTCAGAATTTATTCCTGAAGGCAGAACAGTAAACAAGGAGCATTATCTAGACATTTTATGTCGTTTGAGGGAATCCATTCATCGTAAATGGCCACAGATCTGGCAAAGTGGAGACTGGTACCTTCTGCATGACATTGCACTTGCACATCAGTTCCAAATGGTCGCACAGTTTCTCACCAAAACTCAAATTAATGTGCTTCCACACTCCGCCTATTCACCGGACTTAGCCCCGTGTGATTTTTATTTGTTTCCACCAATGAAAAAGCATTTGCAGGGATGCCGTTTTGTGTCATCAGATGAGGTGAGAGCATCATCACAGGAGGCCTTACGGGAGGTTTAAAAAAAAATGGCTTCCAGCAGTGCTTCCAGAAGTTATATGAGCACTGGCAAAAGTGTATTATTGCCCAAGGTGATTACTTTAAAGGTGGTTATGCATAAGCAATATAAACTTTTTAAGGTAAGGAATTGTAAGCCAAGTCCCCAAACTTTTGGATTGTACTANTTTTAATAATAATACAACACGTTTTCTTTTCGATGACATATCGGTAATATTAAAAGTAAATACTGTATTTAAATCGTGATCAAATTTTCAAGAAACAAACGTTCGTATTGAATTTGGACTACTACTGACCAACGCTAACAGACTACCTATTGTTTAAAAGGCTCTCTGGTGGCGCAAGAAGACGGATTTTATAAAATAAAAAGCAGTTGAAACTGCAGTTTTATGAATAAAATTTGACAAACTATTTATCGTTTTATGACGAATAAAATTTTTTCGTCGCGTTCACGGCTTTTAAGTAATGCATAAACCTTCGAGGCGCGAGGCCCTTCGGACCGCAAGACATAGGCGGTGGCCCACATCGCCCATGCCATACGCCGCCCTTGGTCATAGAAATGAAATTTTAATATAAATTATTTATAAATACGTATGTCAAGTTGTATTTTTATTACTACGTAAAATATATTTATAAGAGTTTACGACCACTGTGCTGGGTGAGACGTTGTTGAAACAAAAAAAGTTATGCATTTCATCACGTACATAAACAGTGTCGTAATTTGCCAAGTGCAAATCAGCAAATTTGTAAAATTTTTGTTTATTTTGAACAATCCGGATAATCGAAAATCCGGATAATGGAGGTCCGGATAATGGAGGTTCTACTGTATTTAGATTAAATAGAATATTGTTATATGAAATTATATGGTCATAAAATCAAAATACTTTTATTAAATAAATTGAAATGAATTTGTATTCAATACTAGAAATAATTCTACCACTGTGTTATATAATATTTATCATATGGCCTACCATAAATCCATTAAATGCCTTGGAGTCATACAAGTCTTTCAAGAATATATATTGATACAGAATACAGAAACGATCAAAAATTTCTATTGTAAATTAATTATTATCGTTATAATAATGTTGTTAACTGGAGTAATTTTGCAAATAATATTCGTAAAATTTTTTGAAAAATCTCTAATGATGTATCTAATATACAGTATATTAATATACAGTAATGAGAAAGTTGTAATTAGCATTAATATGAATCTTTGAAAAGCATAGAAAGGTGGAAAATTTCACGTACAATAATTTAATATATGCTGTACATATATATATGCATGCATAATTTATACAGTATATTAATATATATACAGGGTCTGTACAGACCTGGAAACTTAGGGAATGGCATCAAATGTCAAGGAATTCACAAATATACATACATACATATGTGGTATGGTCCAAAAGTTTGGGGACTGCAGTAATGTATGACAACAAAAGCATGTATTTGAAGTTACAGCATATGAAATTGATTCTATCAAACCTTTCCTACGTGTTCAGGTTGGTTTCGCCCATGTCATGTGATTAAACCACGAGTGCTGTTATTTTCTTTCAGAGATAGTTACCTTTGTTTTGCGACGTAATAAAAATGGAGTTTCCAGAACAGCACTACAACATTAAATTTTGTCAGTGTTTAGGTAAAACACCTATGGAGACTTTAAAATTGCTAAGAAAGGTGTGCGGTGATTTTACCATGGCGAAATCAAAGGTGTACAAATGGCATCGGCTTTTAAAGAGGGCCGAGAATCCATCACAGACGATGAATGCTCTGGCCGACCTTCGACTTCACAGAATGAGGAAAATGTTGAGTTGGTCTCTCAGTGTGTTTGCAAAGATTGTTGCCAAACTCTTGAAAAAATCGCTGCAGCTACTCACTTATCAAAGACTAGTTGCCAGTGTATTTTAACAGAAGATCTTAACATGCACCGAGCAAAGGAAAAGTCATGATGGAGGTGTTTTTTGATTCTCAAGGAATTGTTTATTCAGAATTTATTCCTGAAGGCAGAACAGTAAACAAGGAGCATTATCTAGACATTTTATGTCGTTTGAGGGAATCCATTCATCGTAAATGGCCACAGATCTGGCAAAGTGGAGACTGGTACCTTCTGCATGACATTGCACTTGCACATCAGTTCCAAATTGTCGCACAGTTTCTCACCAAAACTCAAATTAATGTGCTTCCACACTCCGCCTATTCACCGGACTTAGCCCCGTGTGATTTTTATTTGTTTCCACCAATGAAAAAGCATTTGCAGGGATGCCGTTTTGTGTCATCAGATGAGGTGAGAGCATCATCACAGGAGGCCTTACGGGAGGTTTCAAAAAAAATGGCTTCCAGCAGTGCTTCCAGAAGTTATATGAGCACTGGCAAAAGTGTATTATTGCCCAAGGTGATTACTTTAAAGGTGGTTATGCATAAGCAATATAAACTTTTTAAGGTAAGGAATTGTAAGCCAAGTCCCCAAACTTTTGGATTGTACTACGTATATACATACATACTAGAAAGATTTCAGCCTTACATGAGGTGTTTAGCTGGTGGAAAAGAGGATAAGGGAAAGGGGGAAGAAGGAGGGGAGATAGATTGTAGAGAAAGGCAGGATCCCTCTGAACAGCGTACATAAAGCTACAGTACCCTCTATGTTTGATGTTGGTGTGCAGTTTTTAGGCTGCAAAGTCGTAATCCCCGAAGGGTCTAAAAGAAAACCTGAGTGTAGAGAACACCAATCATTCAATGCTGCCACGAATAGCTAAGTGTAGAAGTTAGTGCCAAGTGGCTGTTAGTAGAAAGACTTATATCTACTTAATAGTAATGAAACTGAATGTGAGTATAAATCTTAATATTACCTAACAGCTAGACAGACAGTGCAAAAAACAAACAAACACAACAACAAATTAGATGAGACAAACGGACCAAGAAAAGACAAACAAGCGAGACCCCAAATTTTTTATTTTTTTTATTTTTATTATTACAGTAGAGCATCGATTATCCAAATGTTGATCACCCGAAACTTCGGTTAACCAAAAGCGTTCCATTCGGACTGTGTTGTGCTGAATTGAACGTTTTTGATACTAGATTAACTCCTAAAGTATAATTATTTTTGTTTTTATATTTTTCAATATATTTATTTTGTTTGTACAAAATAAAGAAATAATTTTTAACAATACAATAGCTACGATTATTATTATAAAAATTTTCATTAGGCTTAACATTGACAAAAATTCAACGCAAAGCGACATGCAACAGAGAAAAATTTAAACATGGGATATATTAATATACTATTATTGGGATATACTAATATACTGTAGTAATAATGTATTTTTTCATACATAATCGGTTATTCGAAAAATTGATTTTCCGAACAACCCCAGTCCCCAATTGATTCAGATAATCG